TCGGCGTCCATGTGGTCCAGGTCTGGCGCCGAGTCCTCGCCGCCGCCGAGTCCCGCCGGGGCGCCCTCGCCTTCCTCCATCTCCGGCGGGAGGGATACCATGGCCTGGTCGTCCTGCAGGAGGCCGGGGCGGTCCTGCACGTTGATCATGATGGTCTTCTCGGAGAGCATGGAGCGCGGGAAGGGGTCCTCGCCCAGCGTGTCCGGCCGCGCCGCGTCGATCTCCAGCACCTTGTTGCGCGAGCTCTTGGTGCCCTTCTTGACCACGTACGACACCCTCTCCCCCTCGATGTGCACCACCAGGTACTCCTCCTCCTCGTCGTCGTCCTCGCCCTCGAGGTCCTCCTTGGTGACGGGGTGAGCGTCCGCGGGAGTCGAGGCGATGGAGGCGAGGGCGGCGGAGGGCACGCTCAGCTCCTGCGGCCCCAGCAGGCGGTTCCTGCGCTCCTCCTCCTCCGCCGTGAGACACGTGTGGGACTTGACCTCGGCGGTCGAGAACACCTTGTTGCACGACGCGCACCTATGCTCCGCGCTGTCGCCGTGCTCCTGCTGCTCGTGCGCCTTCAGCTCGGCCTTGATGGAGAACTGCGCGCCGCACACCTGGCAGTAGTAGCTCCGCCCGGTGGAGGTGCGCTGCCCCCGGATGATCCGCGCCGCCTCCTGCAGCGTCATGGGCTTCTTGTGCTCCAGCTTCGAGTGCTTCCTGAGGCCGGCGGCGCTCCGGAAGGTCGCCGGGCACAGGGGGCACACGCCCGCCCCCGGCTGGTGGCTGGCGCGGTGCTGGTGCAGCAGGGTGACCTGCGTGAAGCGCTTCCCGCAGGTGAAGCACACGTAGGGCTTGATGCCGGTGTGCAGGCGCTGGTGGCGGATCAGGTTGGAGGGGTGGCTGAACTGGCGGCCGCACACGTGGCACACGTTGCTCTTGATGCCCAGGTGCAGGTTGAGGTGCATCTTGAGGTCGTGCGGGCGGTAGAAGCCTTTGGTGCAGAAGGAGCAGGTGTAGGGGCGCTCCTTGTTGTGGACGGAGCGCACGTGGTCCTCCAGCATGAGGCTCTTGGGGAAGGAGAGGGCGCAGTGCGGGCACTTGTAGGGGCGCGCCTCGTGGTGCGTCTCGCTCTTGTGCAGGCTCAGCGCCACGGCCGTGTCGCACGTGTGCTCACACATGTCGCACTGCCACACGCCGTGCCCGCGGTGCACGTGCAGGTGCCCGTGGTACTGGCGCCCCGACTTGAACTGCGTGCGGCAGACGGGGCACGTGAGGCCGCCCGGGTTGCCGCAGCGCCGGTTCCTCCGCGGCGGCAGCAGGGAGTCCCTCGTGGCCAGCCGCGCCTCGATCGTGCCCGCCTCGTCCTCCGGCAGCCGGGCCTCCTGCCGCCCGCCCTCGCGACGCCCGCGCCCCGCACTCACGCTCTCCTCTAGGCCGGCGGACGGGCGTGAGTCCCGCGCGTGGCCGGGGGCGGGGCGCGCGGGCGCGGGCAAGGCGAGGGCGGCGCCGCCGTCTTGCTCCTCGAGCTTGATGGGCGCCACGCTCAGCAGGAGCACTTCCTCGTCCGGGCGACGGCCCTCGTCAGCGCCGCCCTCGCCGTCCTCGAGGCGAGTCCCCCCCGCGGCCGCCTCCCCGCCCACGTCGGCGGCCCCGCTGCCGCCGCCCACGAGTACGAGGTCCCCGTAGGCATGCTCCAGGTGCTGCGTGTAGGCGGCCGGCAGCGTGTGCAGCGTGGAGCCGTCGGCGGAGTTGAGTGTGATGGTGTGGGCGTCCGCGGCCGCCGCGCCGCCCTCCTGCTCGCCCTGGCTGTCGCCCTGGATGTAGATGTACGTCATGGTGTCGCCCGCGCCCGCGTCGCCCACCACCACCAGCTGCGGCCCGCCGCCCCCGCCGCCGCCCACCTTCGCGCACCCGCCCGCGTCGCGCACCTGATGGGCGTCCTCCCCCGCGAGGCCCACCGGCGAGGAGGCGTGGGCGTGCGGCTCCGTCTTCAGGGGCTGCAGCACGATGTTGACGCCTTCGTCCAGGGCGGCGTAGGTGAGCGTGGCGCCCGTGGGAAGATGGTGGTGGGCGTGGGCCTGCCTCACGCCCGCGGCCCCGGGCTCCTCCAGGGGACACAGGATGAGCGGCTCGTTCTCGCCCGCCTCCTGCAGCGCCACCATCGTCTCGCTGCCCGCCGCCTCCTGCAGGGTCACCACGGCTTTGGCCTCGCCCAGCGACACGTGGGCGGGGGTCACGGGCGCCGCAGGGAGCCCCTCCAGCGCCGAGAGCGACAGGCCCGGGCGGCGGCGGCTCGCTTCCTCCACGACCACATTGTTCATCACATACCTGCGGGGAGAGGGGGGTGAGGGCGGGGGGAGGGGGAGGCGAGGGGTGATGACGATGATGATAATGATAATAATGATAATGATGATAATAACAATAATAATAAAATAAGAATAATAAAATAATAATCATAATAATAACAGTAATAATAATAAAAAACATAATCACAATGATAATAATATAACATAACAATAATAATAATAATAACATCAGTGATAACAATAATAGTCATAGCAATAGTAATGGTAAATGTACTGTTACTACTACGGCCACTACTGCTAATAATAGTAACTGTAATTATGATAAGGTAATAACGATAATAATAATAATAATAATAACACATCTACTACTACTACTAATAATAATAAGAATAATAATGGTAACTATAAAAACGATAACAATAGCAACTGCATCGATACATTAATAGAACAACAGCAAAAAACAACATAACAATTATAATAATAATGATAACAATGATTATTATGATGATGATGATGGTAACATGTTAAACAACATTAACAACAACAAAAACAATAATAAAAAATAAAATACTCATCATCATCATCATCATCATAATCATCATCATCATCATCATCATAATAATAATAATAATAATAATAATAATAATAATAATAATAATAATAATATTAATAATAATATTAATAATATTAATAATAATATTAATAATATTAATATTAATAATAATAATAATAATAATAATAATAATAATAATAATAATAACAATAATAATAATACAGCTATTATTATCATTATTATTAATACTAACAACAACAATGATATTAATGATAATGACGATGATGATAATAATACCAATTAAATTAATATCAGTGATTTTTTTATTGTTTCATTAAATGCAGAAACATGACACAAATCTTTCCCTTTCTCCCGAAACTGCATAATATATATATATATATATATATATATATATATATATATATATATATATATATATATATATATATATATATATACATATATATATATATATATATATATATATATATATATATATATATATATATATATATATATATATACATATATACATATATACATATATATATATATATATATATATATATATATATATATATATATATATATATATATATATATATGTGTGTGTGTGTGTGTGTGTGTGTGTGTGTGTGTGTGCGCGTGTGCGTGTGTCTTTTACATTATTTCGATGTCAAAATAAGGTGGCTCATTCTTTCGTCTTAAAAAGAACCCTTTCACCCAATCCCACCTGTTCTCCAAAACAGTCAAAAAGACACTGAAGATCAGACAAATGACCTCTCTCTCTAAAAACCTTCGTCTCCCTCCTACTACCCCTCACGACCTGCCCTCCCCTCCTAAAACCCCCTCAAAACCGGATGGAAAGCGATACGAAAAGGCTCCCCGCCGCTGCCATCCGTCGTCCTTCCGCGCTCGTGCCATTCCGCGCTGGCTCGTGTAGGCTCGATCGCCCTCCACGGCCGTGCCAGCGCCGGGCCCCACAGCTAAAAGTGAGTCTATACGTCACGGGATGACCTAATGGCCGAATTGCGAGCTCGGACACTCGCCATGCATGCGTCCTGGGGGTTGGGAGTTAGCCCCGTGCTCGGAGGGAGCCACAGGAGGGTTAAAATCGACGAATTTAGGCTTACTTACGGAAAGATACGGCAACAAAGAAAGCAAATGGCGTAGAACTAGCCTTTTTGATGGGGGGTGGCACTTGAGAGTCTAGTTATTCTGACAAACGATTTGATTAAATAAATCTCTCCTACCAAACCACATAGAAGGTATACATAGAAATAGAAAATATACTAAATTAATCAATTATACACATTTAGAATTAAACCAAATGAACACTACCCCAGGAACATAGTCGCTCAACTGATTGTTTACATCGCGTCGACCGCCGAGACGAAGACGGGATTTTTTGAAAAGGTCGGGAGGCGGCCTTCCCTCGCGGCAAACCCCGGGCCCGATGGAGAGCTATGACGCCGAAGGAAATTAAGGGGACTGAAGAGAAGCCTGTGCAAGGTAGACTTAGCCCGAGTGAATGCGCGCGAAAAAGTCTCTCAATCTGTTTGAAAAGGTTCATGTTGGAACCTGTTTGTTGACTGAGAATTCCTGTCTTTCTTTTGGTCATTATTTTGTCTCTCGAGTGATGTTGGGATTATTCTTACTGTTCTCGTTTATCCTTGGTCATTAATTGTCATCACCAACATGCCGGTGTTTATAATAATCATCATTAATGTGTCACTTTCTGAAGTCATCAACTTGGGTATATGTTTGTATTAAAGAAATTAATGCATTCAGTTATATTACAATACGATGGTCATCATTATTCTGAATAGCATATTGTGTACTCAACTGTCAAGCTTTTAGAACAGCATTTGGCTATTTTGCAATGTGATTTATTCAAAAGATTCATTCAGTAGATATACCTACAGGCACTTTTAGATTATGCTGAAAACTGATTCAGAGATATTTGACATTTGTGGAAGGGTATTTGTGTGCATGAATTTACTTTTGAGTGTTTAAAATGTTGATATGTTAATTACCTAAGCTCTTCCAGACTTACAATTAACTCTAGCTTGAATAAACATTTATGTAAAGGAATACAAGTCATAAATTCATATAAACTAAATTTGTCTGAAATCCTAATAGACAAAAGTTGACTAGGAATTGTAGATATGAACTTACAAAGCCATGGTGAGTGTTTGAAGATAAGTGAAAATATACACCTACTTTCAACCAGAAACTATACAAATATTACATTTCATTCTTTTATTGCAGATAACTAGGTATTCTCAGTGAAGTCTCAAAGATGGAGGGGGTGCGGCATGCGAGTGCCTGCGACCTGAGTGTGCAAAGTGTTAGTACACTTGTGCCTGCTGGGTACACTCAGCTTCTTATGGACCAAAGTACCGTGGGGTTACAACCTGCAAACACCTTTGTTCTGGTGGGTTAAGTGGATAAAGAATTGAACTTTGCTTGATATTTTCATTAGTCTCCTATTTCTAATTGTTATTGTTGTTTTTATTATTATTGCTATCAGTGGCTTTTATTGTTATTATCATTATCATTATCATTGTTATTATTGTTATTACTGATATAATATTACTTATTTTATTTTATTTTATTATTATTGTTTTTATTATTATTATTATTTTTATTATTTTTATTATTTTTATTATTTTTACTGTTTTTATTATTTTTACTATTTTTACTATTTTTTTTATTTTTGTTTTTATAATTTTTATTATTATAATTATTATTATTATTATTATTATTATTATTATTATTATTATTATTATTATTATTATTATTATTATTATTATTATTATTATTATTATTATTAGCAGTAGTAGTAGTAGTGGTAGTAGTAATTTCAATTTTATTGTCATTTTGTTATTATATATGCTGTGGTTTTTATTATTATTTTCATCATTCATTACCTCTAGCATCATTATTATGATAATAATTTGTCATTTCTCAAGATAAGAAATATATTAAACATTTTATTTGTATAGTTGTTATTGTTACTGTTAATAATTTATCTATGTTACTTTGATCATTATTGTTGTTGCTGAATTTATCTTTTTTCAATATTAATTGGTCAGTATTAATATGAGCATTATTATTTTTGTTTATATTATTATTATTATTGTTGTTGTTATTGTTGTTATTCTTATCATTATTTTTGTTTTTGTTGTTATTGCTATTGTTATTGTTATTTATTTTTATATTTATTATTATAATTATTATTATTATTATTATCATTATCATTATTATTATTATTATTATTATTATTATTATTATTATTATTATTATTATTATTATTATTATTATTATTATTATTATTGTTGTTATTGTTATTGTTATTATTATTGTTATCATCCTCATTATCATTTTCATTATTATCATTATTATTGTTGCATTAGTTATTGTGTGTGTGTGTGTGTGCTTGCATTGTGGATTACATTCATATTCATATATGTGTGCATGTGTGTGTGTGTTTTATCATCATCTTCAGTTCATTATCATTGTTATTCATTATCTTTGTTATTATTGTTATTAATAGGTTTTCCTCCTCAGGGTGCACTGCAAGACACTTTTGAAAAAGTTGTTCGCAAAGGAGTTGTCAAGAAGAGGCTGATCCTTAGGGAAGGTGAGTACCAATATTTTATTGTTTTTATTATATAGCTATTATTACTGTTATTATTATTTTTATTATTATCATTATTGTTATTATTATTATTATTATCATTGTTATTATTATTTTTTTTATTATTGTCATAATTGTTATTGTTATTTTTGCTATTATTATTGTTATTGTTATTATTGTTATTGTTATTACTATTATTATTATTATTATTATTATTATTATCATTATTATTATTATTATTGTTATTGTTATTGTTATCATCATCATCATCATCATCATCATCATCATCATCATCATCATTATTGTTATTGTTATTATGATGATGTTGATTGTAATTATTATTATTATCATTATTATTATTATTATTATTATTATTATTATTATTATTATTATTATTACTATTATTATTATTATTATTATTATTATTATTATTATTATTATTACTATTACTATTATTATTATTATTATTATTATTATTATTATTATTATGATGGTGATGATGATTATAATTATTATTATTGTTATTATTATTATTGTTATTATTATTATTATTGTTATTTTTATTATTATTATTATTATTATTATTATTATTATTATTATAACTACTATTAGTACTATATTGAATTAAATTAAAGGTTTAGTGTTGAATAACATTAGTTGCTTCCTTATTTATTTACCTGGTAATCAACCAACCTTTATTTAGGATATTGTACTGATGCTGTTAGCCAGTATTGGTTATATAAGCTTCTGCATGCCAGGGCTACCAGATAACTGAACTTCTTACTCTGTAGAAAGATTTGTCATGTAGGCTGTAAACGCTGGTATCACATTTCTGCATTTGGGGTGATTTATGGGGTTTTATGTTTTGTACTCTGTCAGGTATAAAGGAGCAATTTCTCGGGGGTAAATAGTGTAATTCTCTAATTGCCCAATTAGACAAAATAATCAGGAGAAGAAGAAATGTCCATCAGGTGGCTTTGAATACTCCCCGCAACACTAAGTTTGAATACGCAGTGACAAAAATGTGGCTCATCTTTATCTTTTTATGATCTTTCTAAATTTAATGCAAAAGTTAACTCAAGTTTGATTTATCTTTTTACTTGCTTTATATTTCAAGAATCAGAAGTTCAGATTCTTCTTCTTGTTCTTTCTTCTTTCTTCTTGTTCTTCTTCTTTCTTCTTTCTTCCTTCTTCTTGTTCTTCTTTCTTATTTCTTCTTTCTTTCTTCTTTCTTCTTTCTTCTTCTTTCTTCTTCTTCTTCTTCTTATTATTATTATTATTATTATCCTCCTCCTCCTCCTCCTCCTCCTCCTCCTCCTCCTCCTCCTCCTCCTCCTCCTCCTCCTCCTCCTCCTTCTTCTTTAATCGAAATCATGGAAATGGAAAAGATTCACTAGACAAAATAAAAAGTATCCCCTTAGTGTTGATCTAAAGAAAATTGCAGTAATTAAGACCACAGAAATCTGGCAAGCCTGCATCGTCCCACTTTTGATACGAAGGTCGGTTAGATGCTCCGGCCAAACTTGGCAGGAAAGTAAATGATGGTATTTTTAACCAGTGATATTATCAGTATTGACTATGTGGATGTTATCAGCCAATTACTGTTATAATTATTATTGTTATTATTATTATTCTTTGATGATGATGACAATGATGATGAATTTAGTTTTTTGCAATCCTCATTATCATAATCATCATCTTTGTGAATTGTCAGTATTATCATTGGTTTTATTATTGCTATTATAAGTGTTATGATTCATATCATTATCATCATCATCATCATTGTAGTGGTGGTAGTGGTGATAGTAATAAATAGTAGTAGTCATAGTAGTAGTATTTTCAATGTTATTAATATTATTGTTTATTTATTTACATTTTGTTGATGCTTTAATCTTTTATAACACTCAGTACCTGTAGCATCATTATGATGATCAGTTATTAATAGTGATTGTACTGCTGTTGTAATTTTAGACATGGTATTTTAGTTATTATTTTTATTTGTGAAATTTTATTTTAATTATATTGCTGATAGTCAATATTAGTATGAGTATTATTATTGTCTTTGTTATTGTTTTTATTATTATTATTATTATAATATTATCATTATTATTATTATTATTATTACTATTCTTATTATTGTTACTATTCTTCTTCTTCTTCTTCTTCTTGTTATGATTAACATTATTAATATTATTGTTGTTGTTTTTGTTATTAGTATTAGTATATTTATTATTATTATTATTATTATTATTATTATGATTATGATTATTATTACTATTATTATATTGTTATTGTTATTGTTATTGTTATTGTTCTTATTCTCATCATCATCAACATCATCATGACTGTATTTCTATCATCCCCTATGTTATGTGGACTTTTTTGGCATGAATTTGGTTTCCTTACATTTTCATACAAAGAGGAAATTATGTGTAAGGCCTCGAATGAACATACCAAGATCTACCCAATCTATTGCTTACACAAATGTATTACTGCATGTAGTGTCATTAGCTTTTTGTAAATAAAACAAAG